TTTCGGCGCCGGAGCTTGCTTGGGTGCCGAGTTGAAATATCCGGACAGACGCACACACACACATACGCACACCGGGGTCGTCACAATATGCGTTTTTGCATTTGCATATTATGCAAAAACACATAAAAAGCTAAATTCAGCTCACAATGTTGTAGTCATCTTGAAAACTTTGTTGCGCCTTGCATTTTTCTTGGAAAAAGGGTTGTTATTAGCAAGAGTCTTTTGAAGTACCACTGTTCAGAGCCAGTTATACCAATTAATTTGCCCAAGACAGTGCTAAAACCCAGAAACATTAAAGAATGATCTTTCTAGCAATACTGCAATCGAAATACTTTGCAGTTGTTTTGTACTTAAAAACTATAGGTTGTTTTTCTTACAAGGTCCTTTATTCTGTTTGAGCTTAGCAGCAATGACTTTCTGCTTTGATCAGCTGTAGTGTTGTTATACAGCAGCTGATCTTTGCATATGTTTTACTGCATTGCCTGGTGGTCAACCTGCTGGCAATACTGATATTCGTTTCTTCTGTTGGACGAACTACCATCTGAACGTTACTCCTCCCATCGGCAGGAATTTAGCTGTTCCGAGATGTTAGGACGCCGTCATAAGAGGCCCTTCAACTTCGGTTGTAGATGTTCCGTTAGTACCCACTGTCTCTTCAATGTGTGTGTGGCCCACCGTCTCCTCAATATTTTTCAGGAAATTGTATTCTGGCTATAAAAAAACGCCCAATCAATTAGAGCTGGGTGCAAAATGTTGGGTTTAATGAATTCACCAACCGAATGCGACGAATTTTATGCAGAACGAAGCAGAGATGGTGAAAGTACAGCATTCCCGGGGCAGCATCGAAAAAAAGCACAAGTCTCTTATCGACAGGGTGAGAGTCTGAAAAAATTTTCAGGAAATTTCAACACTTTTTGTACTTTTTAGGAAGTGATGCTGCGTAAGTACTTTTGCTGTCTTTTCGTTGTAAATTTGTTTGTATGATGTGACGAAGTCGGAAATCAAAGCTCCCTCCGCGCTCAGTTTTAATGAGTGAAGACATTCAGAACAACGCGATTTGGTAGCTCATGCTAGCGGCAACTGCATTTTGGCAAGATCTGTCTCGAGCTTGCAAGCAAGCCGGTGGCAAGTTTACTTCAGCACCAATATGCCGGCAAAAAGGCTGAAAAAAAAAAAACGTGGAGGGACTGAATTGGCTCGTCGGCAAAGTCGAACTTCTGACTTTGTCAAAACAGCACCACTCGCTACAGCACTGTACAACTTGAAAATAAACAGCGGCAGCGCATCAGGATGCCAGTACGATTTTGCATTATTGCAGGAAGTACTAATGCAAAATCGTACTGGCCTTCTGCACCAACAGATGCAAGTTTTCTTCTGGAGCTACTGGAGATCATTCGACACGTGAAAAACACCAGAATTTTCTATTCATTATCACTATGAGCAAAAGAATCATGTCATTCTGGACTTGAACACAAAACTTTTGGTCAGAAGTCTGTGGGATTTGGGAGCTAAATCCCGGTTTTTTGATTCAGGAAGCTAATTTCACGAAAAGAGGAAAAATACGAAGGAAACATTTGTCATTTTTGTCGCCCAACACGGACCGAAAATAATCGTTTTTGTCGCAAAAATACATGCTCGAACCAATTCTTTAGCTCACAGAATTTGCAGCATTTGCTCCTGAAAAACGAATGAGCCTTGCCTTTTTCTCCCTGTTCCACGTATTCCGCCGCTGTCGATTCAGCGCCGGAAGAACGAATATTTTAATTCGAAGAATGGCTGAATGAAAATAATAGATTGATTATTTTGATCAATTTCAGTTCGTACTCCGTGTGTGCATCAGGTAACTCTTTCAGTTGCTTTGACCAAAGCAGATTGGTCTTATGGTCAGCCAGCTGGCAATAGCAACTCTACTGCATTGGTTTCATGAAATGATTAATGCTAAGATAATAGATTAATAGCTGAAGGGAAAATACTGTGAAAATGCAAAATGGAAAACATTAATGAGTTTATCATTAATGAGTGAAATGGAAACCCAGGCTGGAACGCACCGAGTGGGCCCATGCGATCATGCGTTTTTGCACCAGACTTAAACTACTCACGTCATTAAGTGCATTAATGGTTGTTGCTCTGCACCTTCCTTATGTTATAAATCACTACAAATTTTGCATAAAGTAAATGTACAATTTTCATTTAACGGTCATTCTTAAAAGAAACCTAGCTGTTCAATGAGAAATTTTTCCGCCAAAACTTTTAAGTGCCTGCACATGCGCATACCTCAAGGCTGAATGAGAAATACTTAAGTTTTAGTTGGACAGGGAAAATTCCTCTAAAATTTCAGCTTTCTAGCTTTTCTGGTTCCCGAGTTAGTAATTTCCCTGCAGAAACTTTCATACGCCCTTACGTGAGTACCACGCGCAGCTGGGAGATGAATTTGAAATATATGAGTTGTACTTGAACAGGCAATATTCCTCAAAAATTTGAGCCTTTCAGCTTTTCTGGTTGTCGAGTAAACAATTCTCCCGCCACATCTTTCATGTGTCCGTACGTAAGAACCACGCAAACCCGAGGGCTGGATTTGAAATTTTTAAGTTGTACTCGGACAGGGAACATTCTCCTAAAATTTCAGCGTTCTAGCTTCCCTTGTTTTCGAGTTAGAAATCTTCCCTCCAAAACCTTCATGCGCCCTTACGTGAGTACCACGCACACCTGGAGGCAGAATTTGAAATCTTCAGCTCACACATCACAGGGGATATCCCTGCAAAAGTTCAGTTTCTTATCTTGTCTAGTTCCCGAGATCGCTTTTCCGCCAAAAAATCTGCATATTTTTTCAATGCGCCCGTAGGTGGCACCCAGGCTTCCGCAGGGGATGATATTAAAACGGGAGGATCGCACATGGTGTGGGCACATGCTCCCAAAGTTTCAGCCTTCTAGCTTTCCTGCTTCTCGAGTAGAAAGTGGGTGGCAAAAAGTACAAACAGGCAGACACACACACGCGCACACAGACACACACACAGCCTCTTCCCAATATGCATTTTTGCAATTTGCATATCCGCAGAAACGCATAAAAACGGCAAGAAATACGGTATGAAAAACATGATCACTTTAATGACAGGTAGATAATCAATTAATTAAGAAAATTCACAACAGTATGTTTTGATCTGTTTGATGGCAAGAAACTGAATTCTGTATGAACGTTATACAGACGGACGACGCATGATTGATGGAAATGTGGAAAAAGTGAAGGAACCGGGCGAAATGTGGAACAGCTTGCTGATCAAAAGTGCAGCGCGATATGTGGATGGAAGCAACGGAAGTATCACGGGACAATGTGTAACGGGTCAGTAGTTGCTGTGTAATACAACTGCAATGAATTTACGTAGGCGAAGAATGCAGTCAGAATCATTTACAGGAACTTTTTTAACAGCGGACGTAGTAAATTAACGGGCGATCAAAGTGGATTCAAGCTCAGCACCGAACCTTTCCAAGTCGTCGTTCATCACTGGTGATGGTGGAAGCGTAGTCATGAATGATCTTTGAGGGTTTTATTAGAATCCAGCCTGAGGAAGAGAATGCTGGTTTGAATCACTGTTCCAGTAACAGCATTAATAAAATCCAATAGGCAAAATATGCTACTTGGCATGCTTATAATCGGTGAATTTCAAGTGCATGTGAATGGTACCCGTAAGTGGCCTTCGAAATGGAGCAAATGCACCGACTAGACGGTGGGTACTACTGAATGGAGTTATGCAATTGAGGTTCAAAGAGTCGGCGTGCGAGAGCATCTCGGTGGCATCTCCATATTCATTATCCGGATATTCCTGGCAACCCTGACAGAGAAAAAGAAAAATGAATACGGAACAGTCCCCGTAGCTAGAGTGCTTCAGCACTGCTGCGAAATACTCTAAACAATACTGTGCGGGTAATCGGTCTCGTGATCCGATATTAATGCTGCTGGCTGGTTCTTCCGCAAATCCAGTGCATTTCTTCTAGGCCTTCCATTATAGCAAAATATCTCCAATTTGTACCCACCATTTGTTCGATGAATGCACGCCATCTCTATGGAAGCTGTCAGAACATCCACACGTTTGAATGAATACATTAGATCTTCCAATGAATGCAGTATCAAAAGTCAAAACCGTTCAGGAAGCCGATATGCTCGAGAAGTAGCCCGAATGATAATAATGCTAACAGCAACCACGGGCTCTGGCAAGGCCAATGGTGACTTTCTCTCCCGACAGTTGCTTACAAGCAAACTGATAGCAGAAAGAACTCAGTGCACATTTTATAAAATAGTAGCTCACTTGTCATCCTGTGCAGCATCTGAGTTTTCCGGAGTGGTTCATAGCTGTAGGATTTTTCCAGGGTATTGTGATGGCTTTCCACATCTCTTTTTTTTACAAACCGTGTTTTCAAAGTTGTGCTAGCTAGAGCATTTGGCTAATCTAAACAGACACGAGCGTGATAAAAAACAAGTACCAGGTTCCACTCTTCTAAATGGGTTCTTGAATACATTCAACGTCAAATTAGATCAATCGAAACTTCAAAAAGGAAATGTTTTTGTGTGCGTTTTAATTTTAGATCAACCAGAGGGCCGCGTGTTGGAGAACGATGTCACAGTGATGCCGAAGCTTCTAGACATTACAATGCGTTGTAAGCCGAAGACAACAACGGTCATCGATTACCTCGGTTCGACAAGCGTTGTGTTCATTTCCGAGTCTGGTCAAGACAAGGCAGAGGAAGGAAATGAGGTACAGGAAAAAAGCAAAGTAGGAAAATAAGAGAAAATGCAGAAAAAAGTGAAAGTAATCTAGAAAGAAACTTTTTGAAAGATTAACTTGCAACTTAATCATGATGTTTACAAAACAGGGTGCATTCGAAAAGATTATGGTAGGAAACGGGAGTGAGAAGTTCAGATTCTTTTATTACCAGTTCTGTCAAGTGCTATGCTAACGAAAATTTTAATAACCAAAATTAATTACCATGGTTTTATGAAATATGGTAATTAGTATTATTAAAATACCTTTTTTTCGAAAAACCACTGTCTTCTCGCTTAGAAGAAAACTCCGAAAGGTATGATAACAAAAAGCACATTTTTTTTGCGATGTTGAGGGGTACTTTTCACAAGTACCAATAAAAAGAATTCTGTACTTTTTTTTTTTCATAGCACAGTTTAAAAACTTTTCGCTCGCTGTTAAATGTTTTTAGTGGTAAAAAATACACAGCAAACCGACAGTCGCTGGGTATGCCACGTTAGTAATGCTGCTGAGATGCTTTCTTACGTCAGTCGCAGCTGTGCCAAGTCCTTTGAACCTGAGCTGCGTTGTCTGTCTGAGATATGCACGGCACACATTCAAAGCGCCAGAGTAATCGTCTACTTCCTCCAAGTACTGCACACTGACGTGCAGCGTTCATCGCTGTCGGCGAGTTGAATACCATTGCTATATTTTCTAAAAGCAAGCGAAAATGTATCATTTGAATTCTTCACATGTGAACATGCTAAATCATGTTAGTTTTGCAACGGCAAGTCTTCATGCTTCTATTTGTATTAGCATGTGAAACTTTTTTCAACACTTTGTGAAAAAAATCATTTTTTGGTTTCTAAGTTCATCATTGTTAATTTATTATATTTTCTGTAACGCATACATATAACTCAACTGAATCTGTCCGATGGTAACCTTACAGTTTTGCGATAAGCTACTACTGAGCCATACAGTAGGATTTTATACAGGATGCGGCAGATTAGGCGTCACTCAAATTTGGCCTCATTACAGCCGAATAGCATTCTCGATAGAGTCATGGACCTTTAATTTTTTAGGACTTCATTTCATTTGATAAAATTATATCCCAACCCACTTCCTTAGCTTCTGTCGTAGTTCAGGATTTCTAACTGCTGCTTCCTCTCTGGCTGAATTTTTAGCGCTTT